ACGTAGCACTGATTTTGAAGGGTTGCCACGACTGCGCGCGGAGGAAGGCCCCAGTTGTCCAGGACCGGGCCCCGCTGCAGTCCATCCGGGTTTCTCGCGTTAATGAGCTCGTGGCGCTCGACATTTTGGGGCCATTCCCTGCATCCCAACGGGGCCACAAATACCTCTTGGTGGGCGTTGAGTACCTCACACGTTGGCCCATGGCATGGCCTTTGGTCGATCAGTTGGCCTCTTCTATCACCGAGGCCTTCGTCCAGGGATACGTGTTTGACAAGGGCGCGCCGGAACAATTGTTGACTGACCAGGGGCGGAATTTCTCGTCTAGGTTGCTCAAGGAGGTGTGTGACCTCCTTGGCACCAAGAAAATCCGCACCTCGCCCTACCACCCCCAGTCAGATGGGATGGTAGAGCGCTTGAACCGCACCCTTACGTCCATGCTGTGCCACCAGGTGAACACGTCCCAGTCAGACTGGGACCTGTTCGTCCCGGGGGTCTTGGCGGCGTATCGGTTGGCCCCTCATGCCTCCACGGGATTTTCGCCTTTTTATTTAATGTACGGTAGGGAACCGGAGCCCCCGGTGCACGTCCAGATGGACGTTGGCTCCTCCAAGAAGGGGTCGTCGGTGCCGACCCCTTTGAAGGTCGCACTTGACCGGCTGCGCGAGGCGCGACAGGCCGCTGCCGAGAATTCCGCAAGCCGGCAGGCGGCTAATGAGCGGCTGCCAAAACACCAGGCAGCTGGCCTCCCGTGGGTAGCGGGTCAAAAAGCGTGGCTGCATTGTCCCCAGGTCCCCGTTGGCACATCGGCCAAATTGCATCGCCCTTGGCAGGGACCCGTGGAGGTTGTGGAGGTCCGCCGGCCGCAATGCGTCCGGATTCGATTCGGTCGCAGGCAGTGGATAGTGCACCCGTCCCGGCTCAAACGTTATGTTCCATCTACCCTGGGGGATCCACCCCCAATTCCGGAGCGGCCGGCTGATGATGTATCCGGCGTGCCTGACCGGCCGGGTCTCGTTGACGGAGGTGACGTCCGACCTGTGTGTGTGCCCCCAGGCCCCTCCCGAGTGAGGCCGACAGAGACCCCCCAGGCACCGGAGGCCACGGCGGTGGGCCTGTTGCCCGCTGACGGCCCACTTGCACGGGTGGCGGACACCGCACGAGGGAGCGGGCCAGCAGCGCATACCCGCTCGAGGGGGGTGCGGCTCCGGTGACGGCCCTGATGGCCGTTCAGCGGGCCTAGCCCCTGGCGCCCGTTCGGCGCTATCCGGCGGATGAGGCCTTCGGGCTCTATTTGTTTTGTTTTTTTGTTGTTACTGTTCTGCTTGAAGGGCCGTGCTGCCCTAAGGTTGATTGCAGCCGGGTCGGCTGTTTTTTTTTACGGGGGGGGGTGATGTAGAGGAGTAGTGGAGAGTGGTGGCGTCGTGTGCGCTGTCAGGTGCGGTGACCTCACGGGACGTGGGGTCGCACGCGCTGGGCAGTGCACGCGACATCACCCCTCCGAGGGTATATAAGGGAGACCCCGTAACGTAAGCGGGGTCACTGGAGGAACGGGGATAGTGGAAGGGGTAAAGAGGGAACCAGGGATAGTGATAAGTGTTAATAAACCCTGGCGGAAGCCCCTAACTCAACCTCCGTCTCCGAGTACCTCCGTCTACGATACAACACTACTATACACTACACTATACACTACACACTAGTGCTGTACTAGTACACTACACTATACACTACTATACCACTAAACTACTATACACTACACTATACACTACACACTAGTGCTGTACTAGTACACTACACTATACACTACTATACCACTAAACTACTATACACTACACTATACACTACACACTAGTGCTGTACTAGTACACTACACTATACACTACTATACCACTAAACTACTATACACTACACTATACACTACACACTAGTGCTGTACTAGTACACTACACTATACACTACTATACCACTAAACTACTATACACTACACTATACACTACACACTAGTGCTGTACTAGTACACTACACTATACACTACTATACCACTAAACTACTATACACTACACTATACACTACACACTAGTGCTGTACTAGTACACTACACTATACACTACTATACCACTAAACTACTATACACTACACACTAGTGCTGTACTAGTACACTACACTATACACTACTATACCACTAAACTACTATACACTACACTATACACTACACACTAGTGCTGTACTAGTACACTACACTATACACTACTATACCACTAAACTACTATACACTACACTATACACTACACACTAGTGCTGTACTAGTACACTACACTATACACTACTATACCACTAAACTACTATACACTACACTATACACTACACACTAGTGCTGTACTAGTACACTACACTATACACTACTATACCACTAAACTACTATACACTACACTATACACTACACACTAGTGCTGTACTAGTACACTACACTATACACTACTATACCACTAAACTACTATACACTACACTATACACTACACACTAGTGCTGTACTAGTACACTACACTATACACTACTATACCACTAAACTACTATACACTACACTATACACTACACACTAGTGCTGTACTAGTACACTACACTATACACTACTATACCACTAAACTACTATACACTACACTATACACTACACACTAGTGCTGTACTAGTACACTACACTATACACTACTATACCACTAAACTACTATACACTACACTATACACTACACACTAGTGCTGTACTAGTACACTACACTATACACTACTATACCACTAAACTACTATACACTACACTATACACTACACACTAGTGCTGTACTAGTACACTACACTATACACTACTATACCACTAAACTACTATACACTACACTATACACTACACACTAGTGCTGTACTAGTACACTACACTATACACTACTATACCACTAAACTACTATACACTACACTATACACTACACACTAGTGCTGTACTAGTACACTACACTATACACTACTATACCACTAAACTACTATACACTACACTATACACTACACACTAGTGCTGTACTAGTACACTACACTATACACTACTATACCACTAAACTACTATACACTACACTATACACTACACACATGTGCTGTACTAGTACACTACACTATACACTACTATACCACTAAACTACTATACACTACACTATACACTACACACTAGTGCTGTACTAGTGACGAATTGGCCACGTTCTGTTGACGTGACAACCCTCACTAGTTGGCTGTGTCGGGTGGTGGCGGGTTTAACGACACAACATTTATATATTTACGCGATTTAACCATAATGTTTTTTTTAAACAAAAACAGAGACACCTGAATGGGAGTGGAAACTCGCCTGTCAGGATCTTCTGGCAGCGGCGGCGACCTCTTCAACTTGCAACTCCTGCACCGCCGCGGTTCAGCACAGAGTTAGACTGATCACTTTAATCTAAATTGTCTTATGGTTGTTTTGCACAGCATTGATATGCGGTTTATTTCTGGAAGACTTTGATGTTTTTTCTGGATTTTTCTGTTGCGCGTCGTCACTTTAAGATGTTTCTTGTTCGTGTTTTAGTTTGTTGCGGTTGCACCCGAGTCAAGAGCCGAATGGCTCACAGGGCTCTACCTAATACATGGCTCACAGGGCTACACCTAATACATGGCTCTACCTAATACATGGCTCACAGGGCTACACCTAATACATGGCTCTACCTAATACATGGCTCACAGGGCTCTACCTAATACAGGGCTTTACCTAATACATGGCTCACAGGGCTACACCTAATACATGGCTCTACCTAATACATGGCTCACAGGGCTCTACCTAATACAGGGCTTTACCTAATACATGGCTCACAGGGCTACACCTAATACATGGCTCACAGGGCTCTACCTAATACATGGCTCACAGGGCTCTACCTAATACATGGCTCACAGGGCTCTACCTAATACATGGCTCTACCTAATACATGGCTCACAGGGCTCTACCTAATACATGGCTCTACCTAATACATGGCTCACAGGGCTACACCTAATACATGGCTCTACCTAATACATGGCTCACAGGGCTCTACCTAATACATGGCTCTACCTAATACATGGCTCACAGGGCTCTACCTAATACAGGGCTTTACCTAATACATGGCTCACAGGGCTCTACCTAATACATGGCTCACAGGGCTCTACCTAATACATGGCTCTACCTAATACATGGCTCACAGGGCTACACCTAATACATGGCTCTACCTAATACATGGCTCACAGGGCTCTACCTAATACATGGCTCTACCTAATACATGGCTCACAGGGCTCTACCTAATACAAGGCTCTACCTAATACATGGCTCACAGGGCTCTACCTAATACATGGCTCACAGGGCTCTACCTAATACATGGCTCTACCTAATAAATAAACTGAAAATTTAAAACTGAAATCGACCGAACTCCCCGTTCTAAATGGCGGTGACACGACGTCATCGCCTGGGGTGAGCGCCACTCCACTGGGTTTTGACGTCATGAGTCGCCCGAGTTTCGCGCCACTGGGCTGGGTCGGGGACATTACGTCACCACTAGAGTTCCAACCGAGTAACTGGGTGGGTGACATGACGTCGTCGATCGCGCGAGTGCCGATCCCGACACTTGATTGTAAGGTGACGTCATCACACGAGTTTCCAAACGTCCGCTGGATAGTCTGTGACGTTGTCACCGGAGTTCGCGCCACTCGGCTGGCTGGACACAACACGTCATCACCCGAGTTCTCACAACGAGGGTCGCTGGCGCCATGACATCACCGAGAGTTTCCCATCACGATGCTTGCTGGTAACGTGACGTCATCACGCGAGTTGACTGGATGGGTGACGTGACGTCATTTCAGCGTAACTCCCGCCCCGGCGCAACGAAGTGGAGCGCGGGCCCGACGTCACCCTGCACGCGATGCGTTGTCTGCGCGATAATGACGTCACGAGAGACCGGCGGTGCATGACGTCACGAAGCCACTCCGACTCACCGCGTTGGTCTGGAAACCGATCGACCGTCGACTTGAAGCAGCAGGATCCGATGAATCAAATAAACATTTGACAATAATAACGCCACAACAACAACAGCCATATAATGGCTCTGGCTATTGTTACAGACGCTTTGAACGCGTTAATCAAGCCCGCCGGTGAGTGCAGCGTTGCGTGTTATGTAGTTGGTTCGGTGAGGCGAGCGAGGTGACTCGGTTTGTTCAGTGGCCTAGCGGTGACATGTTGACGTGAAGCTGTCGTGACTGCTGAAATTCAAATTCTTTGGGCCTTTCGGTAAACTCACGTTGATAAGTTGATAGAAAATTAATGAAAACTACGACGTTTCGATCACAACACAAGCGATCGTCATCAGGAGGAGGATGATGACGATCGCTTGTGTTGTGATCGAAACGTCGTAGTTTTTGTTGCTGTTATTTTTGTTATTTTCTTTCAACCAATCTGCGTGATTTGACCGAATGACCCCAACGAGTCTGACCTCAGCGGTGTCGCGTGAGGCCGCGGGTGACCTCCCAGCCGCTGCCGCTGAGTTCACGCCGACCGGTTCGATCCCCGGTGTCGGCATTTAACGAATAACAACGCATTTTTTAAAATTAATAAACTTTATTTTAAAGGTGCGGTGGCTCTTTACGCGTTTAATTACTCCGGCGATGGTGGTGATGCACAGATAAATACGGTGAGCACACTCGTCAACAACAACAGTGTGTGGTCTGAATAGAGAAAGTATACAGCACGTGTATGTTGCTATGAAAAAAGGTGGGGGGGTCATTACCCGAAACGTCGCCAATGAGAGATATGTTTAACTTTTAAGGCCACCAAAACACACGGAGTTGTTTTGGACTAACGTGTTGAGTATTTTGATTCGGCATTTTAAGTCATTGCTTCTTTGCATAACGATCCACAGTGCTGTGACCACGTGCTTTGTGAGTATTGTACTGTTCAGACGTTGCACTTCTTTGGCACCGGATGTAGCCAACCACGCTCATGGGAGGTGCGGGGGAAGGACCACAAACTATGGGTCTCTGTGTGAGTCTATGGGTCTCTGTGTGAGTAGTCTATGGGTCTCTGTGTGCGCCTATGGGTCTCTGTGTGAGTAGTCTATGGGTCTCTATGTGCGTCTATGGGTCTCTGTGTGAGTAGTCTATGGGTCTCTGTGTGCGTCTATGGGTCTCTGTGTGAGTAGTCTATGGGTCTCTATGTGCGTCTATGGGTCTCTGTGTGAGTAGTCTATGGGTCTCTGTGTGAGTCTATGGGTCTCTGTGTGAGTAGTCTATGGGTCTCTATGTGCGTCTATGGGTCTCTGTGTGAGTAGTCTATGGGTCTCTATGTGCGTCTATGGGTCTCTGTGTGAGTAGTCTATGGGTCTCTATGTGCGTCTATGGGTCTCTGTGTGAGTAGTCTATGGGTCTCTGTGTGAGTCTATGGGTCTCTGTGTGAGTAGTCTATGGGTCTCTATGTGCGTCTATGGGTCTCTGTGTGAGTAGTCTATGGGTCTCTGTGTGCGTCTATGGGTCTCTGTGTGAGTAGTCTATGGGTCTCTATGTGCGCCTATGGGTCTCTGTGTGAGTAGTCTATGGGTCTCTGTGTGCGTCTATGGGTCTCTGTGTGAGTAGTCTATGGGTCTCTGTGTGCGTCTATGGGTCTCTGTGTGAGTAGTCTATGGGTCTCTGTGCGTCTATGGGTCTCTGTGTGAGTAGTCTATGGGTCTCTGTGTGCGTCTATGGGTCTCTGTGTGAGTAGTCTATGGGTCTCTGTGTGCGTCTATGGGTCTCTGTGTGAGTCTATGGGTCTCTGTGTGAGTAGTCTATGGGTCTCTGTGTTGGTCTATGGGTCTCTGTGTGAGTAGTCTATGGGTCTCTGTGTTGGTCTATGGGTCTCTGTGTGCGTCTATGGGTCTCTGTGAGTAGTCTATGGGTCTCTGTGAGTAGTCTATGGGTCTCTGTGTGAGTAGTCTATGGGTCTCTGTGTGCGTCTATGTGTGTCTCTGTGTGCGTCTATGGGTCTCTGTGTGAGTCTATGGGTCTCTGTGTGAGTAGTCTATGGGTCTCTGTGTGAGTAGTCTATGGGTCTCTATGTGCGTCTATGGGTCTCTGTGTGAGTAGTCTATGGGTCTCTATGTGCGTCTATGGGTCTCTGTGTGAGTAGTCTATGGGTCTCTATGTGCGTCTATGGGTCTCTGTGTGAGTAGTCTATGGGTCTCTGTGTGCGCCTATGGATCTCTGTGTGAGTAGTCTATGGGTCTCTGTGTGAGTAGTCTATGGGTCTCTGTGTGAGTCTATGGGTCTCTGTGTGAGTCTATGGGTGTGTGTGTGAGTCTATGGGTCTCTGTGTGAGTCTCTGTGTGAGTCTCTGTGTGCGTCTATGGGTCTCTGTGTGAGTCTATGGGTCTCTGTGTGAGTCTATGGGTCTCTGTGTGAGTCTATGGGTGTGTGTGTGAGTCTATGGGTCTCTGTGTGAGTCTCTGTGTGAGTCTCTGTGTGCGTCTACGGGTCTCTGTGTGAGTCTATGGGTGTGTGTGTGAGTCTATGGGTCTCTGTGTGAGTAGTCTATGGGTCTCTATGTGCGTCTATGGGTCTCTGTGTGAGTAGTCTATGGGTCTCTATGTGCGTCTATGGGTGAGTCTCTGTGTGCGTCTATGGGTCTCTGTGTGAGTCTATGGGTATCTGTGTGAGTCTATGGGTCTCTGTGTGAGTCTATGGGTGTGTGTGTGAGTCTATGGGTCTCTGTGTGAGTCTCTTTGTGAGTCTCTGTGTGAGTCTCTGTGTGAGTCTCTGTGTGCGTCTATGGGTCTCTGTGTGAGTCTATGGGTCTCTGTGTGAGTCTATGGGTCTCTGTGTGAGTAGTCTATGGGTCTCTGTGTGCGTCTATGGTCTCTGTGTGAGTAGTCTATGGGTCTCTATGTGCGTCTATGGGTCTCTGTTTGAGTAGTCTATGGGTCTCTATGTGCGTCTATGGGTCTCTGTGTGAGTAGTCTATGGGTCTCTATGTGCGTCTATGGGTGAGTCTCTGTGTGCGTCTATGGGTCTCTGTGTGAGTCTATGGGTCTCTGTGTGAGACTATGGGTCTCTGTGTGAGTCTATGGGTGTGTGTGTGAGTCTATGGGTCTCTGTGTGAGTCTCTGTGTGAGTCTCTGTGTGCGTCTATGGGTCTCTGTGTGAGTCTATGGGTCTCTGTGTGAGTCTATGGGTCTCTGTGTGAGTCTATGGGTGTGTGTGTGAGTCTATGGGTCTCTGTGTGAGTCTCTGTGTGAGTCTCTGTGTGCGTCTACGGGTCTCTGTGAGTCTATGGGTGTGTGTGTGAGTCTATGGGTCTCTGTGTGAGTAGTCTATGGGTCTCTATGTGCGTCTATGGGTCTCTGTGTGAGTAGTCTATGGGTCTCTATGTGCGTCTATGGGTGAGTCTCTGTGTGCGTCTATGGGTCTCTGTGTGAGTCTATGGGTATCTGTGTGAGTCTATGGGTCTCTGTGTGAGTCTATGGGTGTGTGTGTGAGTCTATGGGTCTCTGTGTGAGTCTCTTTGTGAGTCTCTGTGTGAGTCTGTGTGGGTCTCTGTGTGAGTCTATGGGTCTCTGTGTGAGTCTATGGGTCTCTGTGTGAGTCTATGGGTGTGTGTGTGAGTCTATGGGTCTCTGTGTGAGTCTCTGTGTGAGTCTCTGTGTGCGTCTACGGGTCTCTGTGTGAGTCTATGGGTGTGTGTGTGAGTCTATGGGTCTCTGTGTGAGTCTATGGGTCTCTGTGTGAGTCTATGGTCTCGATGTGCATCTATGGGTCTCTGTGTGAGTCTATGGGTCTCTGTGTGAGTCTATGGGTCTCTGTGTGAGTCTCTGGGTCTCTGTGTGAGTCTGTTTGTCTCTGTGTGAATCTGGGTCTCTATGTGAGTCTATGCATGTATGTTGAAATTATTTCGCACCGGATGTAGCCAACCGCGCGAATCGGAGCTGCGGGGTGAAGGACAACAAACGAAACACAAAAAGCGGTTCTAAAGGAATGAGTTTCAACCTACATGATGCTTTATAAGTACATTGGCTTCCTAATATCGGAAGGGAAAGCGTTCCAGACGGCCGCAGAAGCAGCAGCATCTGAAATCGCCGCGCGATGTAGCGACTTGTCTTTAGTAGGCTGCATTGATGCTGCCCTATCTGATACAAAATAGATTAGCAAACAATATCTCGTAGTAAATACACGTATTCTTGACACAGCCAATATCGTGCCCATGGGCCCTCTGTGAGCAAAGAATGTCATCAACCATTGATCATCAGAACGAGGAAAAACTCTGGACCGGCTTCGACTTGCATTGGTTTCATCAGCAGAGTCAGGTTTGCACGCAACTAATTCTGGTGAACTGCCAGACGTGGAGAGACAGAAATACACAGGGGACATCAAACTTAATGTCATCTCTTGTGTAGCGCCTTTAATTGAACGATCACGAAGTGCTGTGCTTATGAAAATTCCAACACTCATTGAAATAAATAAAGAGTTCTATACCGGGACTCCTCTACTTACGAACGAGTCCTGGTAGGTTCCAGAGGTTCTGTCCATAAGTCGATTTGTTCCTAAGTCCAACTTTACTCCTGTCGATTCCATACGTGTTGTACGGTGTGTACACTAAACAGGGGTGAATGGCGTTAAAAGTTGTATAATCTCCTGTAGATGTAGTTCCCATTGGTTACGTTCTGCAGGTGTAGATGCCACTGGTTCTTCACGTTCTGCAGATGTAGATGCCACTGGTTCTTCATCCTCTGCAGATGTAGATGCCACTGGTTCTTCATGTTCTGCAGATGTAAATGCCATTGCTTCTTCACGTTCTGCAGATGGAGATGCCACTGGTTCTTCATGTTCTGCAGATGTAGATGCCACTGGTTATTCACGTTCTGCAGATGTAGATGCCACCACCACCATCTCTTGCGGGGCGGTATGAACATGAGACTCTCGGTCCGAACAGGCCACTGGACATACGGGACAGGTTTGTTCATATCTCTGAAAGTTCGTAAGTTGAATGTTCGTTCGTTGAGGAGTCCCTGTACAAGACAATACAACGAGGGCAGATGAATCGCGCCAAGCCAGCATTCCGAAAGTGACGGTGGTGGTGGATCATGTTGAGCTCGGCGACGGCGTCGTGCGATGGTGTTGACGGCTAGCCGGCTCAAGCGCCGCTTTTGCGATCGTCGGCAGAGCAAGCTGGCGGGACGCTGCAGCCCAGGGAAGCCCTGCTGGCGTCTTTCAGGAGAAACCTCGACGCGGTGGGATGTCTGCTGCAGCAGCCGGACGTGGCCGGGCAGGCCCTGCGGCGACTCCGAGGCGGCGTCTGTGCGAACACGAGGTGCGTGCACGAGGTGCGTGCGTCGCGCTCGGGAGAGAGGAGCCTCTCGCCCGTACTCGTTAAAAGCAAAACAAGCAAACGAACGAACGTTCTGCCACGCGTTTTAGGTTTTTCGCGGTTGCGCTGCCACGGGTTTTTGGGTTTGCGCCACCACGCGTTGCTCCGGCACGACATCCCGACGATTCAACGCAATGTGCCGGTGGTTTTTGTGAGGGGCACCGCAGTGGCGAGATGTTAACTCCCTCGCCTGGTATGCAGAATGTCGTGGGTTCAATTCCGACCCCGACGCCTGTTGTATATTTGGAGATTGCATGTTCCCCCCGTGGTCATGTGGATTTCTATCAGTGTCCTATGGTTTTTTCCTCTACATTTAGAATCAGCATGACCTTTGAGTATTTGGCCGCTATAAATATCCAGGTGATAAGCCACTTTTTGTTGAGCTGTCATTTGTAGCCAGGTCGCTTCTGAAGTAGAGCTACATAGCTCAGCGGGTCTTGCCTGGTAAAATCAAAAACAACTTGTTTAGTTTTAGGAACTGCAACTTCGTTACCGTTTTGTAATTGGGCTCAGGCAGGACGCGTTACTGGAAGGGGTGATGGTTGGTGGCCCAAACTTAACGGAGGAGTTGCAGCTGAAGGGGCGAGCGTGCTCAAGAATCTGCATGCCACAGAGATGGAGCAATGAGATTGGCCCACTTGTTGGATGGATTTCCGCATCACAGGACCACGAAAGCTTTGGGAGGCTTTCATCTGGCAGTGTATAGGTCATGATCAAACACGAACATGGTCATACGTTGCATGTATTGTATTGGTAGATGCTCATGTCACCTGCACAGCCTCCAGAGGGGGTTACCCATCAACCCAACGTTAGAATGAGTAGGTCGGATTCTATGCAGCTATACGGACCGTCGCGTCGCGTGACCACGAGCAACCGTGATGGGCGAGAGGGGGTGGCCTTCGTCTAGCAGTGGATAGGCCATGGCTGATGACGACGATGACGACGACGACGACGATGACGACGATGCCACGCGTGCAGTGCCCTCAAGCCGCTACTGGGCCCGGCGATGGACGGTGCCGGCGGCGCCAGGGAGGGCGACGCCGTCTTCCGGTTCGGCTCCGAGTGCCTCCTGCTGCTGCTCGCGCTCAAGGCCGCCATGGCGGAGGCTCGGGCGTCTGCGGAGGCGCGGCGCGGGTCGCCCCCGCCCCCCGCGGCGAGGACCCGGATGGGGGAGGCCGCCCCTCCGCCGCCGCTGCCCGCCGACGCGCTTGCCGTAGGGCAGACGCGCACCGTACAGGCGGTGCTGCAGTTCGCCGTCACGCTCACCGTGTGCCCGCATCTCTTGCCCGGTGAGTCGGGGAAGCCCGTGTTCGTTTTGCGTCGGCGAGCCCGCGCGATAGTTACATGTGTATGTGTGTGTGGTAGTGTAGCGGTTAGCGCTACGCTGCGCTACGAACCCGGCGACCCGAGTTCGATTCCCGCTCACTGCCAACACCGGTGATGATTATTTGAACCGGTCCTGGGCCTCCCCTAGGTCGAGTATGCCTCAAATGAGTGCCTGGTGCGGTGTGTCAACATCGCCACTGGGGAGACAAAGGCGGTCGGGCGTGGTGCTGGTCACCCTCCCCCTCGTGTGCCACAGTGCTAGCCTTCATTAGGTGCTCGCTAACAGCACTTGCCCCAACAGTCTGTTAAGGCTACACGGGGGATCTTTGTTTGTCTCGCCAGGCGTGGGCGTGCCACTGGAGAGGAGGTCATTGTACGGGGCGCTCCTCCGCTCCCTGTCCACGGCGAGCGGGGAGAGCGGAGCGGCCGCCGTGCCGCCGCTGTCGGCCGCGTGCGTGGCCCTCCTGGAGCTGTGCGAGGAGAGCACACTGGGCAGCCTGCTGCTCACGCGCCACCTCGGGGACCTGCTCGCCGGCCTGTGTCAGCTGTGCTACGCGCCCGCCGCGCAGGTGCGGTGGCGACGTGGCGGTGGGGCTGGAGGGGAGGCGATGATGGGGGGCGGTGGGGGTGGAGGGGGGCGGCACGGCCTTGTCGAACGAGCAGAGCCGGCGAGGTTGTCCGTTGAGAGACCCTCTGTTTTGTCGTCACAGGAGATTGGATAGTGACTGGTCCCCCCGAGTTAACACTGCTGGTGCGTTAAGTCAACGTCGCAGGGGGCGTCGTTTCAAGAGACCGGTGGGGGGCCCTCCTTGTGTGCCCCCCCTCCCTTGTGTGCCGGCGTCACACTCTGATTTTCGCTAAGCGGTAATAAGTGACACAATTTGGGGGTTGCACGTGGCGGCACGACCGTGTGACGATCGCGTGACAGTCCCTGATCTAATTCTACGTTCACATTACGAGAGCGCCTTCGCTCAAGGGCGCTTGTGACGCAGCTTACGAAACGGTGACGCGGAATGAAATAGCGACTTAGATGGCAGGGGGGTCGTGCCACGAGGGTTGAGGAATGAGCGACCGCGATAGAGGGGTTACTTAGGGACCTTGAAAGGGCTACAGGGGAGGGATGGGAAGTTGCGGAGGGGCGAGGGGAGAGGAAGAGAATGGGCAGCAGATAAGAGGTGTCAAACAGTCTAAGCTTCTAACACGTAGTAGTAGTAGTAGCAGGCTTTCACCACCAATATTATCCACAATAGAGGTTTTTTGGGTTGGATTGCACAAATATAAATGTGTCGTGAAACCCGCCACCACCCAACGCAGCCAGTTAGCAAGGTTGTGTCTTGTAAACAAAACGTGCCAATTAGTTACGAGTTCAGCACACCGGTTGTGTGTTGGAGAGTAAACCCCGCAACATTTACACTAATTATAACCAGCCTCATCCTGTGTGTGTGCTGGTGTCAACCTTCTCGCATATCCTCCGTGTGTACCCAAATCGTACTCTTTGGTTCTTTCGGTAAAGTCACGTAGGTATAAAATAAAATAAATCACGACGTTTCTGGCGCATGGATTCCTGCAGTCACGAAAGCTTCAAATCAAGATTACCTAAATCGTCTTGTTCACAAAACACTTTTGTGAAAGAATAAAAAAAACAGCCTCCTCAGGCGACAACCGGAATTGTGGACAAACCCTCTGCGGTCGATGCCCCCCCCACTTCCTCCCGCACCCCCCCTCCGCCCCCCCCCCCCACAGGAGGTGTCGGCGGCGACGGTGGAGGAGCGACGCCACTGCGAGCGGAAGCTCTCCCGACTGCTGCGGAGGGTCTACCAGCCGGCCGTGGTGCGCGAGCTGCTGGTGCTGAAAGGCGCAGCTGTCAAGGTCCGTGGCCGTCGCCCTTCCACCCGTGACACCCCCCCCCGCCCCCCCTCGGCATCGTCGGGGCAGCGGCGAGGGTTGTTGGCGGATCGGCGCACTAATGTTGCCAAATTTCCCTCCTCGTGGGCGTCGAGGAGGTGGGGGAGGCGGAGGAGGTGCCGTACCCTGGCTCGCCAGGCGGAGGCGGCGCAGCAGAGGCGTGGACTCCACCTTGTCCCGTCTGTACGGGATAGAGTGTTTCCCCCTCGCGCGCGTCGGTTTTCCTCCGGGCGCAGCAGTTTCCTCTCTCATGCAAGCACGCTCATTAATTGGCCGATAACGCCTTCATATACAGAGGACCGCAGAGCTTGGGCAATTGTCGGTGCCTACTCATCGCGCGGTGGTTCCTCGCACCTCTTGCGTAGGACTCTGTGATTGAGAGTGAATGATTTCCGGTGCGCGTTACACGTTGAAATTCTATTTATTTAAAGAAAAATGTTACGACACCGTGGCCTTAACAAAAAAAAAAATGTTGATATTTACCGGGTCATTTTATACCCCGTGAGGTGGTACGAGACTAGTAGTAGTCACAGCCATAGCAAAAAAGGTATCCTGTATTTGCGCAAATATTTTTCGGGCTGCTGGTATACTGGAGTGTAGGTAGCACGTGACTCAAGTAGTGGAAATATTTTCCGAGTCAATGGGAGATCGGAGTAGGTGTCATGTAACTAGTGGTAGTGTAAGAAGTATACCGGATGTGGTTACCCGGGTTCAGGATATGTTTTACTGCACAACTGAATGAGGTGTCACGTGATTGGTGGTAGCCCGCCAACCATTGTGAGAAGTAAACTTGGATGCGTTGTGCAGGGTTCTATTGGTCACTCGTAGACTGGAGCAGGTGTCATGTGACTAGTGGGAGCCCCCAGCCATTGTGGGAGGTATGCTGGATGTGATAAGCCGGGTTGCGTGAATATCTTCCGTGTCGCAGGCATACTGGCGTAGGTGGCACGTGGCTTAAGCAGTAGCCGCAGCCATTGCGAGAGATAGTATACCGGATGTGGTGTGCTGGGTTGCTGCAATGTTTTCCAGGTTGCTGAGCCAGACAGAGGTGGGTGGTGATTTAAGAGGCTTGCCCATTGCCCCAACTGCCGATGCCGGGAGATTGAATGGAACCAGTGCGGCATGCGAACCGTAACGCTGCGGCGACACCCTGCAGTCGATGATGATAATGGCGGTGGCGGTGGTGGTGGTAAAATCGGTGTTGTTGGGAGGATAACGTTTAGTCACCCCACGTTCACAGCCTTACCGTGCGTGCAGAAGTGACTGCATTCATCGATCGCTGCTAACATCGGTGGCGAGTGATCGGCGATCCGGTCTCTTGGGCATCCCCTTTGAGCAACCCGCACTGACCAGCACGGTGAAGTATGGTCAGGAGGCAGCCTTCATCCAGCAGTGGCATGGCAAAGGTCTGCGCGAATACAGAGCGGATTCTGTAGGTCGATACACATAGAAAGACAAAGATCCCCCGCGTAGCCTGTAGCGTCGCTTTGGGGGCAAGTGCTGTTGGCGAGCACCTAAGGAGGCCGGCACGCCACACCAGGGATGGGGGGCCAGCACCACGCTCGGTTGCCTTTGTCTCTCCAGTTTGCGATGTTTACACATCGCAGCAGGCACTCATTTCAGGCTGAGTCGATCTAGGGGAGGCCCAGGACCGGTTCAGATAATCCGTTATTGGTGTTTGTGGTGAGTGTGAATCGAACTCGGGTCGCCGTATTCACGGCGCAGCGCGCTACCAGCGAGACACACAGTAAGACAGAGACAAACATTCATGCAAACGAATAAGAATATCGACACCAAGGTACATAAAACAAAGAGGAAAATAGACAAATACACAGACGAGCAGACTACCAAGAAAACAGACTCACGCACGCAGGCAAACAGACAGACATAGAGATAGATAGGCAGATAGACAGAAACACAACCATGCAGAGAGCTACATGGACAGAGAGACAGATGTGGAGATATGCAGGCAGGCATTCAGACATACAGACAGACAAGCAGGTTAACAAAACAGTTTCACCGCTACATGGACAGACACATGTAGAGATTCCAGGCAGGCAGGCAATCAGACATACAGACAGACAAGCAGGCTAACAAGACAGCCACACCGCTACATGGACAGACACATGTAGAGATATAAAGGCAGGCAGGCAATCAGACATACAGACAGACAACCATGCACACAGAGATGCATGGTCCGACAAGCGCATATAGACAGGCAGACTAACAAGACAGCCACACAGAGAGCTATATGGACAGACAGACAAACACAGAGGCAGGCGGGCCGGGAGCTACGTGCACAGACAGCCAGTATTAGAGATGAAGAAGACGACGCATCATTCCGGGCCCTGTCTGTCTTGTTACCAACTTGGGAAAGGTCACGTCCCCCCCCCCGCCCCATCCCGCGAGCGTGGCCGTGGGGAATGCGTCGCGATTGACGCGCGCCTTGATGTGATGTGACATTCACTCCTCGCCATGGCAAGTCGCTCCAAATAGTTATAATAATAACACAAAAAATTAAATGTAATACTCTTTGGTTCTTTCGGTAAAGTCACGTAGGTAGAAATAAAATAAAATTAATATTTTAAATATTTTATTTTATACCTACGTGACTTTACTGAAAGAACCAAAGAGTATGGATTCCTGCAGTCACGAAAGCTTCAAATCAAGATTCAATGTAATTTCTACGTCACATTTACAGCAGCCCCTCGGTTAGCGATATTATTAATTGGTTCCTCGGAATCCTTTGTGAATTGCATTAATCGTTAATCGAATGTAGGAAATACGTGTTCAAGGGGGGTTTAACACGTCGTAGGCTTTCGCGACCGATATCCAAAATACAGGTTTTATGGGGTTAGATCGCCTAAATATATAAATGTGGCGTTAAACTCGCCACCACCCGACACAGCCAATTCGTGAGGTTTGTCACATAACAAACCTTACTAATAATGGACGTGTTAAAGGCTTAATTTGTTCGAAGACGATGGGAATTTGAACGTTTTCACACCATACAAAAGTAGTTTATAACATTTATAAATGACTTGTGTGAACTTACAGATTGGCCAAGCATTTGCTTTTCACGAATCCGTGTCATAAGGAGTCTCGGCATTTCTATTTTTAAAGTTTCCCAAACCTGTACAAATCCTGGTCGAGGCATCCTTCACATCGAGAGCTTTGAGTTTGTCCTTATGTTGAATAATCGCAGAAATAGTAGATTGATGTCACTGCTGCTCTATTTAAGACCGGGAGCAGGTGGATGGCTTCACTATTCTGGCAATTCGCGTGATGATGCTGGATGTAGTTACCACGAAACGTCTTACGTCTCAAATTGTAAATGTTGTGGATTTACTCTCCAACACGCCGGTGGCCTGAAGTAGTCACTAATTTGCGCTTTGTTTACGTGACAAATCCCTTACTAATTGGTCGTGTCGGGTGGTGGATGGTTACGACACAATTATACTTCCGCGATCTAACCCAACAAACCTTTATTGTGAACTAGCGGAAGTACCCGGCGTTGCCCGGGTGAAAAATATATTTCTTAAAAACCTTACATATATATACACAGATACTAAGGTATTGTCAAAGCCCAGTGGGCCGTTTGTACATTTTTTCACCAACAAATATTTAAGAGGCTTGCACAAGTCCAAAAAGTTGTAGAAAGTGTGGGGTAAATAGTTGATGTAAAAGGTTTCCGAAAATTGTGGACCCCCCCTACTCAAAAAATATCTTTACCCCTCGTAGGTATATATACCTACACACCCTACATACAACAGAGGAAGTAGTATCTATTGACTCTATAGTAGTATCTACTCACTGTACCGTAGTATCTACATAGCAGGTACCACCACCACAGTGATGGTGAGTGGTGAAGGTGAGTGGTGAGCGGTGAGGGTGAGTGGTGAGGAAAAGCGGTGAGTGGTGAGGGTGAGGATGAGTGGTGAGTGGTGAGGGTGAGGGTGAGCGGTGAGTGTGAGTGGTGAGGGTGAGTGGTTAGTGGTGAGGGTGAGTAGTGAAGAAGAGTGGTGAGGGTGAGTGGTGAGGGTGAGTAGGGAAGAAGAGTGGTGAGTGGTGAGGGTGAGTGGTGAGGGAGAGTGGTGAGGGTTAGTGGTGATGGTGAGTGGTGAGTGGTGAGGGTGAGTGGTGATTGGTGATTTGTGAGGGTGAATGGTGAGGGTGAGTGGTTAGTAGTGAGTGGTGAGTGGTGAGGATGAGTGGTGAGGGTGAGTTGTGAGTGGTGAGGGTGAGTGGTGAGTACAGTCAATATGCACTGCTGTAATCATAGCAGGTACCACCACCACAGTATGTACTGCTCTCATCAGAGCAGGTACCACCACCACCACAGTATGTACTGCTGTCATCATAGCAGGTACCACCACAGTATGTACTGCTGTCGTCTTAGCAGGTGCCACCACACTCGGTATGTACTGCTGTCATCATAGCAGGTACCACCACCACAATATGTACTCCTCATCATAGCAGATACCACCACAATATGCACTGCTGTAATCATAGCAGGTACCACCACAGCAGTATGCACTGCTCTAATCATAGATACCACCACCACAGTATGTACTGCTCTCATCAGAGCAGGTACCACCACCACAGTATGCACTGCTGTCATCATAGCAGGTACCACCACAGTAAGTATGCACTGCTGTCGTCATAGCAGGTGCCACCACACTCGGTATGTACTGCTGTCATCACAGCAGGTACCACCACCACAATATGTACTCCTCTCATAACAGGTACCACCACAATATGCACTGCTATAATCATAGCAGGTACCACCAGTCATTATGCACTGCTGTAATCATTGCAGGTACCACCACAATATGCACTGCTATAATCATAGCAGATATCACCAGTCAGTATGCACTGCTGTAGTGATAGCAGGTACCACCTCAGTCGGTATACACTGCTGTAGTGATAGTAGATACTGCTATCGAGTTGGTAGATACTGCTAT